GATCCCTCCAAATCATCATTAAGATCATCATCACGTTTGTGAGTCATCTTTTTCAATCATCATCATCTTCGTCGTCAATATCTTGAAAATCATCATTAAAGTTATCATCATTAAAGTTATCATCATTAACTTTATCATCATCGTTTTGGTCATCATCATCGTCATCATCATCGTCACCGTCATCATAATCATCATCGTCATCATCAACCTCATAATCATTATCGTCATCATCATAATCATCATCGTCATCATCATAATCATCATCATAATCATCATCGTCATCATCAACGTCATAATCATCATCGTCGTCATCATCATCGTCCTAACCATCTACGTCATCATTAAGGGTTATAAAAAACACCATAAACACGACTAAACCTTTCACCATCAGGGCCATCAACGTCATCGTCACATTTCACCATCAACCTTATCTTCCTTCCTTCTCTATATATTTTCATCACCATCGTCAGTGTTGCAGTTTCCACCGTTGCATCTCTGCCATTTTACATTTTAAAAAAGAAATATTTTGTCGTCATCTTCGTCGTCGTCGTCGTCATCAACATCATTATCATCATCAGTATCATCAGTATCATCATTATCATCATCATTATGAACATCATTATCATCATCTTCATTATCATCATTATCAGCATCATTATCATCATCCTCATTATCAATATTATTATCAATATTATTATCATCATCATCCTCCTTATTATTATCAACGTCATCATCATCATCATTATTATCATTATTATTATCATCATCATCATTATCATCACACCATCCTCACCATCTCCATCGCAATCATCACCAGCCTCATTTTCATCGTCTTCATCATCACTAGCTCCCGGTTGAAATGCATTAGTAAGTTATTATCATCAGTTGTTTAGTTAATTCGAAACAGACGTGCACAGGTCTTAAATGCATTTTTGTTATTGTGGTTATTATTGTTGTTATCACTGTTATTATCATTGTTGTTATTATTATTTTTATTATTGTTAGCGGTTGTAGTAGTAGTAGGAGCAGTTGATGTAGTCGCAGCAGCAGTATTAGTAGCTGTAGTAGTAGTAGTAGTAGTAGTAGTAGTAGCTGTAGTAGTAGCTGTAATAGTAGCTGTAGTAATAGTCCCAGCAGATGTAGTAGTTGTAGTAGTAGTAGTAGTGCTGCTTTGTAGTATTCATTATTGTCATTTTATGTAACGATAGCAAAAATAATACTGAAAATTATTTATTTTTATTGTTTACATTATTATTATTATTATTTTCATTATTAGTATTATTCTTTTTTTGTGTGTTCTTCTTGCGTTTCCTCGTGTTCTTCATTAAAAGTTTGACTGACTCCGTTACGTGCCGTCTTCTGATTGATAGGTCTCTGCAAAACAAAAAAAAATAACAAATATTCACCATCATCACCACTATCATGCATGTGTGTGTTTTTGTGTGTGTCTGCTTGTTTGTATGTGTATGAAAGCGTGTGTGTCTGTGAAGGCTTGGTTGTTTGTATATATATATATATACTATCATTCATATATGCATGTGTGAATCTATACCGTTACCGTTGTATTGTAGTATCACCATCATCATCAACATCATCATCATTGTACTTGCTTAGTCATCGCCATCTTCATCGTCGTCTTCACCACCACCACCATTTTATTTGTTGTCATCATCATCACGTTTACCTATCTAGCTAGTCCATCATCGTAAATAATATTTGCTTGCAAAATCATCATCATCGTCGTCATCGTCGTCATCATCGTCATCATCGTCATCATCATCATTATCGTCCGTACCAGCTGTACTTTACAGCATAATAACAATAATTTAGATGAGTTACTAAAGTCAATGAAGTGCGCTGTTCGTTCGTTCGTTCGTTCATTCATTCATTCGACAAAAACAACAGAAATGACAATGTATGCTAGTCCTTGAACTCTTCATACATTTTATGATATAAATGCTTTGTATGTATGTGCACGCACACACACACACACACATATATATATATATATATATATATACAATCAATTTCTGTTTACGTGTTTTATTAATAAATTTACAGGTGAGCGACACGATAGCCCCCAATAGAAGGGAACGGACAGTGAGAGATAGATAAAGAGAGAGAGAAAAAGAGAGAGACTGAGAAAATGTTAAATGAAACGAAGAAAGAATAAGAGAGGGAGGAGAGAGGAAATGGAAAAAAACGAATGAAGTGAGAATGAGGGAAAGAAATACAATGTGATAATAATAATAGAGTGGGTAATAAAGGAATATAATTAGCGAGGAAAAGTTGTAAAGAATAAGAAAGAGAGAGAGAAAGAGAGAGAGAAAGTTATTTTAGTTAGCGGCCGGCCAATGTCTGTCCGATCAATAACCCGACCCAATTCTTCTCGAAAGATGTGATTTGTGATTGTTGCTACTATTATTATAATTGTTGTTGTTGTTGTCGTCGTTGTTGTTGTTGTTGATGTTGTTGCTGTTGTTGTTTTTGTTGTTAGCTGATTATTTGTATTGTTGTTATTTTTCCCATATTTTTATTACTTCAACTGCTGTTGCTTTTTATCGGCTATTGCTATACGCTACCGTTAATGTTGATGAACTTGTTGCAGTCTGTTGTTGTTGTTATTATTATTGTTGTAGTTTGTTGTTGTTATTATTGTTGTTGTTATTATTATTGTTGTAGTTTGTTGTTGTTGTTATTATTATTGTTATTGTTGTAGTTTGTTATTATTGTTGTAGTTTGTTGTTGTTATTATTGTAGTTTGTTGTTGTGGTTATTATTATTGTAGTTTGTTGTTGTGGTTATTATTATTGTAGTTTGTTGTTGTTGTTATTATTGTTGTGGTTTGTTGTTGTTGTTGTTGTTGTTGCATTTGCGTCCCGACACCTTCGTTCATTTATCCATTTAGGCGAACCTTTGGCAACTACACTTAGAAGAGGATAAGAATAAAAACAAGAAACAACGCAATCTTTGATGTGTGCCCGTGTGTGTTTGTTTGTGTTTGTTTATGTGTGTGTGTGTGTGTGTGATTTAAATGTATATATATGTGTGTTTGTAATATAATATAATAATAATATTTATATAAATTTATATATATATATATATATATATATATATTTATATTTATTTAAATACATGTCACTTGAATATATTTTGCTTGTTAGTGTTAACGTGTATATCTATAACATTTTTTGTTACAGCTTTGTTATTTATATATATATATATATATATATATATATATATATATATATATACGAATCGGTAGCTATTTCGAAAAAGGTGCATAGATTTAATTTTAAGGTTTTATAAAACTGCGATGAAATTAATAGCAATTATTTTAAAATAATTTATAAATTAAAGTTATATTTAAACCTTTTCCAGTTATATTGTCAATAGAATAGCAACGTCAAAGGCGACGACGACAACGAAGCAACAACAACAGAGATAAATTATTTATTGAGCGAGTCTTCCTTTCATGTGCCTTTCATCATCCAACAACAACAACAACAACAACAACGACACTTAACAACAACAACAACACTTAACAATATCAACAACAACAACAACAATACGACATTTTCAAAAGAAACAAAAGAACGCCATCGTCGAACGTTATTCGTGACGTCATCAGCAAAAACATTTCTAAGAATGAAATCCTCTGCAGAGTCTGCCGAAATGGCAATGACGTCACCATCCACAACAGCAACAACAACAACAACCTCATTGCTACTAGCCCCGACAACATTGGAAACAACAGCGTTTTCATCGGCCTTACTTGAACGAAGAAAGAACAAAAAAAATTTACCCCTTCTGAATTTGACCTGCACTACGAAAAAAGATCACACGTCGACCACAAAAACCAGTGCGTCTGTTTACTACCAAGACGGCCAACGCAAAGATGGCGACGCTCAGAACGGCAGCGACCAAATAATCTTTTCAGCGCTAACAAGCGATTCGCGTTGCAATCTCTCGCCAACACAAACGCGTAATATTAAATACGATAGTTCTCACTTACACCAGCTACATCAACAACTACAGCAGCAGCAGCAACAACAACAACAAGAACATCAACAACAACAAACTTTTCTCAACAGCTATATAAACGATGACGAACTAAAAAACGTCATACACAATGGCGGCAGTGGTAACATCAACTACAACAACAGCAACCGCTTCAGCAACACACCATCAACAACAACATTTCCAATAAAAGTTCTCCATGGTTTGTACCTGGGCAATCTACAAACATCCGCCGACTTGAATACACTGCAAAAATTGAACATCTCGTTAGTCTTCTGACACCTGTCGATGCGATTATTTATTATCATGAATATTTTATTTTGAAATAAGCCGATTCATTAGATAGTTGTCATAAAAACTAAGAGATTAATAAACGTTCATTAATTAACGTTAATTAATGATAATTGAGTCCACTATGCTGACCCAGATACATAGTAAACGTCACCTCTGACCTGCCTAACGAATTCGAGAACCGAGAAGAGTTCAAGTACTTGCGAATACCGATCACAGACTGCAACTGGTCGCAGGATATGGACCTTCATTTCGTCAATGCCATCAAGTTTATCGGTTAGCGAGTGTTCGCTGAATAAACTCGGAACGGTTTGATTCCATTTGTCACGATATGGTTGGCTCTATCTAACTAATCAACAAACATCATCAGGCTACCGATAGCCAAAATAATTTTTTTCATTATTTTAATTCACCTCACCACCATTAAATGACCACACATCCAATCAACGCTCTTCACCCTCTCCACCATCGAATGACCACAAACGCCCCTCCACCAACCAATGCGCAGAGGAAGGCCTGCAAAACCAGCGTAACGTTCTCGTGCACTGCATAATGGGCATGAGTCGTTCTGTGGCGATCACCCTAGCCTACCTCATGAAATCGCAGAGGTTCCAACTGGACGAGGCCTATGATTTCTTGAGGGGGTTCAAATCCAACATCAACCCCAACCTCGGCCTCATGGAGCAACTGCAAAGATTCGGGTCTAAACTGGATGGGATGAACGAAGGTCTTGAACGGTGTCAAAAGTATCTGATGATGATGATGATGATGATTATGAAGGAGATGATGGTGATGATGATGATGATGATGATGATAATGACGGTAATGGTGATGATGATGATAATGACGGTAATGATGATTATAAAAGAAATGATAATGATAATGATGATGAAGGAGATGATGATGGTAATGATGATGATGTTTAGTTAACTAATTAAATGATCGTAATGTGTTCACTTTGAACGAACGAAGAATCAACAGAGTAGAGACACAGTATGTTATACATATACTTGAGCAACTGTACACACACACAACGTATCAATTCGGACGCCGAAGATGGTATAGGAATACCGAAAAAAGCCTTTCTATTCTATCATGCTTATAATAAATAAAAATTTTGGTTTCGAACTCAAGAAACTTGACAATGATGATTTACGATCAACCGTTAGAAAATTGAAAAACTAAACAAGAACTAACTAACGCGGAACATGCTGTCATTTTCATCAACAATTGCATATTTTATATATATATATATATATATATATATATATATATACACTAAAATTCAACATTAAACTTCAATCGCCAGACTCAACAGCTGCGTCTACAACTACTGACTTATCAACAGCAGCAGCAGCAACAACGACAACACAAACATCTCATCACATGACTACCACAAGCTATCATCATCATTGTCACATCAACAACAACTACAATAACGACAATAGCGGCAACATCAACAACCACAGCTGCAACAACGGTTATATTAATTACTACAATGACGACGACATCAACAACTATCGCTGCAACAAACACATTGCTACTACTTTAGGTTCTGAAACAACAACCGCAACAGCGCCAGCAACAACAACAGTAACAACAGCCGCCGCTTCTCTAGACTCAATAATCACGCCACTAACAAGCAGTAATAGCTGCTGTAGTAACGACTTTCAAAATATAGAACAACAACACCAGCAACAACAACAACAACCTCAAATCGTTTTCAACTTCACGTACACGCCGCCCTCGACGCCACTACACCAGCTTCATCTGTAGTCTTCTATTTTTGGATAAAAAATATTATTATGAACATTTTTCTACAGTTTTGACGTCATTTTTTAATATTTTTCCAAGCAGAAACAATTTTTTCGTATTATGTGATTATATAACTACACTCTGAACCGACATTCTACACCGTATACATACCGCTAATTCAGTTTATTGCAAGAACATTTGCTGCTGTCCTTGAGATTTTTGACACGTAAAAAAGTGATCCTTAAATCTTTGCGTCCTTATATATATATATTTTTTTAAATTTATTCATTGAAAATAAATTTATTATCAATTAAAATAAATTTATTATAAATTATATTAAATTACGATCACATTTTCTCATAGTTAACTTTCAAAAGCTACAGCAAATATGCGTAAGTCCACGCATCGCATACGTTTGCTTGCGAAAATCCGGGATCTCTGTACATTTGAATCCAGGTCACCGCAGCACCAAGACCAGGCGCCTTAACCATTGTACTATCTTATATTGTAAATAATAATAATCGTTATTGTGTAATAAATAAAATATTGATATTATTTTTATAATTGCTGATGTGAGATGTGTGATAAGGGAGGACTTTTATGCTTTTTATATAACCCCTGATGAAATATGTTTTTTAAAGAGCTTAAAAACATAATAAATGGAAATAACGTCATATTAATAATGTGAATACTGTTCAATATTGAAATTTTATGATTGGACAAAAAGACGAACCTGCTTTTAAATCCACCATTCATTCATTCATTCATTCATTCATTCATTCATTCATTCATTCATTCATTCATTCATTCATTCATTCATTCATTCATTCATTCATTCACTCGTTCATTCACTCGTTCATTCACTCGTTCATTCACTCGTTCATTCACTCGTTCATTCACTCGTTCATTCACTCGTTCATTCATTTACTAGTTTATTTATTCATTAATTCATCATTCCTTCACTCGTTCATTCATTCATTCATCATTCATTCACTTGTTCATTCATTCGTTCATGCACTCATTCATTCAGTCAATCAATTGATAATAATACAAAAATGTGTGTGTGTGTGCGTGTGTGTGAGCGTGCGTTTGTTCATTTATTTCTGTATATACTTTCAACCTTGAATGGAACTACTTTTGTAAATAGAATCAATACATTTCGCATGTTTTACCCATTTTAAAAGAACATTTTAAACATATTTTAAATTATTTTCTTATTTGTTTTTTAAGTTTTTTTTCAACTTCTCTCTCTCTCTCTCTCTCTCTCTCTCTCTCTCTCTCTCTCTCTCTCTCTCTCTCTCTCTCTCTCCTTAACTGTCTTTCTCTTTCTTATCAAATTTTACACTTTTTAGCCTTCCTTGTCATTCTTGATTTTAATAAATGTTATAAAAGATATTATTATAATATAAATAAACGTCACATGGTTTTATTTGATATTTATTTTATAACAAAAAAAGTTATGAAAAAAAACAAAGAAATGGTTTTAATATTATTTTTTTTATTTTCATAGTCGGCTTTCACACCCGAATCTTCTTACTTTTCTCTTTAGTCTCTCTCTCTCTCTCTCTCCTCTCTCTCTTTTTCTCTCCATCAGTCTATCTAATATTTTCTATTTCTTATTTTCCTTTATCTTTCTCTCTTCTCTCTCTCTTACTACTACTACTACTACTAATAATATTATTAATAAAGTATTGTTCTTTCATACGTCAAACATTAGTTGTGCTAATGCATTCAAATATTAATGTTGTTAACTGCCTGTTAGTCTATATTAATTGCATTGCATCATAAGAAGAAAATTTTTGAGATGCTTGTTGCACATTCATTCATTGATCCATTCATTCATCCATTCATTTATACATCCATTCATTCATTCATCCAACGAACGTTCTACCTATCCCTTTATCCGTCATATTTTCCGTGTCTTAATTTGTTTGTTTGTTTTTGTTAATTATTAATTTATTCATTTGTAAATATTCTTTGTTTTGTTTTGTTTGTTTGTTTGTTTGCTTGTTTGTTGTTTATATGTTGTTCTGTTAATTCGTTTATTGGTTTCCTTTATTAAACATTACTTCATTGAATCTTCGGCTTCACTCAATCAAAATTATATATATATATATATATATATATATATATATATATATATATATATATATATATATATATATATGTATGTGTGTATGTGACTTTACACACTAATACACACTAACATGAAAAAGGTAGCAAAAAATAACGTTTTGTGTGCGAAAGAAAGATGTCCAAGTCCACTCGAAAAAGTTACAGTGTAGAAACGTACACAATTTTGCAATCGGATAAAAAAAATCTGACTCCGTCCTCAAAGAGTTCCGATTCAGACAAAATATCCGATTCCGACTAAGACACTCACTTTTGGCCAAAATTTGACATTCGGTTTCGGCAATTTAGAATATAAATAATACAATTGTATTGTTTGTATGCGCCATTCAAAAAGAACTCATAGGTTATACATATTATAACAGGCCGGATTCACAAATTTATGCAATTATAGTGTGATTAAAATCTGGTTATAATAATATGTATGCTGTCAGAATGTAGTAGGCAGGTATAGAAATATATGAATAAATGCTGTACAGCTAAGTCATGAATATTATATATATTCATGAGTTAAGTAAATATGTATATATTCAATTCAGCATGTACTGCATATAGAATTTGACATAGAGTTATATTTATGTGTGTGTGAGTGTGTGTTTGTTTGTGTGATGTTTTGCTAGATATTTAGTATGTCTAGTTAGACAACTGAATTTCTAAGCAGCCTGATAGCATGTGAGTTTCAGATGTTGGTAGGTAGGCAGGCAGGACTGCTACTAGTTTATTGGTCGGTCGGTTTGTTTGTTTGTTTGTTTGTTAATGACATCCTGTTTTACACACACGCACACACCGCTTGCACACACACACCACGCGCACACACACACGCTCGCGCACATCCATACACACATTTACTTGCGATCTTGATAAACCCATGCACATCCATGTACAGCCACTTACATGCAATTATACATACCAACACGCACACAAATTATTATGAATGAAAAAGACAGACAGAGAGAGAGAAAGAGAGAAAGTGAGAAAAAGAGAGAGCTAGAAAGAATGCAATGAGTGGAGTAGTAATATTTACAAAAGGATAATTAAACAGATAAATTATTTGCTATAATGTTTTTATGGATATGTATATATTTATAATTATATATATTATATGCATTCATGTGTATGTATGCGTATGCGTGTGTATTTGTGTGTATGGTTGCATGCATGCATGTTTGGAATGAGATAATCATAGATAAAAAACGGCGCTAAAGAATAGCATTCCATTTTTATAAAATAAAATAATTTATAACAAAGATTTAAATATGTCCTTAGGCGTTTCTTAAATTCCAAGAGCGTTAATAACGATTGACGAAGTTCATCTGGCAGTTCATTCCAAAAAGTCGGTCCTGAAATGGCAAAATCTCTATTTCCAGTTTTCAATTTTGTTTTTGGTACATATAATTTATTTGAACTGGAAGATCTCAATTGCCCATGAGTTCCCAAGGAAGAAATTTTTATTTATTTATTTGACAGGTACCTAGGAGCTAGATTTTTTAGGCATTTAAACACCATCATCCCTAATTTGAAAAAGATTTTTTTCTTTATGGGACGCCAATGCAACTCCCGTAAGATTATAGAGGCATGGTCAAACCTTATACCACCAACAATAATTTTCACAGCCTGATGCTATGCTACCTGCAACTTCGAAATTCATTTATCCAATATTCAGTATAAAAGACAGTCGCAATAGTCCAATCTAGTGCTGATAAATGCGTGCATCTGTGACGTGAGAGCATCTTCGTCTAAAAACTTTCTTATTTGACAAATCTGGCTAAGTTGGAACAACTCTTAACAAAAAAAATAAAACAATTCTTGTGAACCCATTGCAAAACTTGAATCGGTTTTATAGTCTGAACTTGTAACCGAGCTTTAATATTCAATTCTACACCCCCAAATGTTAACTGAGGAAGGTTTAACTTGTGATATTTGTTGCCATGTACCAATCCATATTATCTGTGTTTTTGTTGGGTCTAGCTTTAGTCTGTTTCAACCAAGCCAGATGCCAACATCATTTATGCCTTTAGCCAATAAATTCATCGTGGCAGGTATCTTTGACGGAGAAGAAGCTACGGATACCTGAATACCATCAGCATAGGAGTGGCAGTGGTAGCCAAATCGACGAATAAAATCTACGTAATATATGTATATATATAATATACATATATATGTGTGTGTTTGTGTGTGTGTGTGTGTGTGCGTGTGTGTTCGTATATATGTTTCTGCCTAAACAATCACCCGTATATATCTGTATTGAAAAGGTAACGTTTGTTATATATATATATGTTATATATGTTTGTGTGTGTGTGTGTGTGTGTGCGTGTGTGTTCGTATATATGTTTCTGCCTAAACAATCACCCGTATATATCTGTATTGAAAAGGTAACGTTTGTTATATATATATATATATATATATATATATATATATATGTATATATATATATGTGTATATAATATATATATATATATATATATATGAACAACATATATATATATATATATCTATATATACACGTATCTTTTGTCATAAATTATTCGTGCTTTCTTCATCTTATAGTTGTGCTAATGTTATTATAAATGTTATTATTATTGATATTATTGATATTAACATAGTTATTATTATTATTATTATTGTTATTATTATTATGATCATTATTATCGTGTGTACTTTTTTGTGTATTTGTGTGTGCGCGTGTACATTGTGCTGCGTATGTGTGTCTCCTCTAGGTAAGTGAGGTACGTGGCAGATTTGAAAAGAATATTTAATACAGTTACTCAATTGTTATAGGTATAAACACACATATAATTCATAAACTACACACACACACACACACAAACACACACACACACACACACACACATATATATATATATATATTTATATATATTTATATACGTATA